TTATGCCTTGCCCCCCCCCCCCAGGTGTGCTGAACTATCGGAGACCCAGTCTAAGGTTTTATCTGAGAACCCACTGGAGCCTAGGAAAGCCTGAGGGTGGGGCCAGCATAACTGCCCACAGATTTGCAAAAAAAAGAGAAGGCTGGAGAAGCCTGTACTAACAGGAAAGGTTTATAAGACGGCAGAGGCAGGGATGACACTGAATCACCAGAACTCTCCTTAAATATGTGGGCAAACTCACTGCTGGGAAATTAACTGTTCTTCAGCCCATCCATCTCTCCTCTCCATCCATCCACCCATTCACTCTGCGTAGATGTGGGGACGGAAGGATCCATTAAAATGAGTGACTCAGCAGCTTCAGCCTGGGGGGTGGTCCAGGGGAATCTGAATATCCCAGAAGGAAGTGGAAGGGTCAAGAAGATCTGACGATGGAAAGACGAGAGAGGAGATGACGGGTGGGGTGATAACAGCTAATATTTATAGAGTATTTACTGCATGCCTGAAACTGTTCTCATTCCTTTACACTTGTTTTCTGACTTAATCCTCACAACCACCCAATGAAGTAGGTACTTATATCATGTCCATTTTACAGATGGGGACACTGAGGTAGAGAGAGAGGAAGTCCTTTCCTCAAGGTTACACAGCCAGAAAGTGGTGACTCCAAGGCTGAAATCCACACAGCCCGTGCCCAGCATCCTCCCTCTTCACCACCGTGCACACTGCCTCTCAGGGTCATGTACAGAGATGCGGTACATGAAGTGGAGTAAAGGGGATTCGCTTGCCAAAGGCAGGCCTATAGACAGAGAACAAAGGATGACCTGGAATGGGAACATTTTAAGGGTGGAAGGAAGAGTAGCCAGAGGAAGGAGAAACAGGAGGAGTACTGAGACGAGAAGGTGTCATCACCTGCCAGGGAGGCCAGCGTTTACTGAAGGAGAGACTTTCAAAAAGGTCAAGCGCTTCAGAGCAAACAGAGGTAGGAAGAGAATGGTTGACAAAAAGCTCACTGGACTTGGCACTGGGGTTCTTGGTGATCTTTAAGACGATGTGTCCCACAGGGAGGTGGGGCAGCCCACAGAGGGGAAGGACCGGGGGAACGGGTGGATGTGATGGTAGAGAAATGGGTTTTCAGAAGCTTAGGCATGAGAACAGGAGACAGGACAGCAGCCAGAGGCAGAAAGCAGGATCCGGGTAAGAGTTTGCTGTAGGACAAGCGGTGAGTTATTTGTAAGCCAGTCAGCGCGGAAAGAGGGGAGAGTTAACTGACAAAGCAACGCTGCTAACAAGGTAGGACACAGCTTTCTCATTCTATCCGCAGGCTCACAAGAGCGAGCCAGGGGGCACTAACGCAGAGCACTTATTGATTCCCAAGGACTTCGTCTCTAAGCTGGTTCCCGACTGGCACAGAATTACCCAGGGAGTTGACCTGGGGACACCAGGATGGTGGAGGGGTAAGCTACACAAACAAACCAGAAAAGCACCTAGAGTCAAGGAATTCTAGAGTCAAGGAGTTTTAGGAACCTGTGGCTAAATAAAATTAAACTGGCTTCTTTAAAGTCTAAACTTTCTTGCATCATTTTCTGCTAATGGACAACCTTAAACTCCAATTAAAGGATAAAGAATTCTGAGTTTCTGGTCTCAGGGACCACAGAACCTTTGTGTCTGGGAATGTCTGGCAGAACTACTGTTTCTCAGAACACATTCTGGGATATACCGTTCTTGTGTGTTCAGGAAATGAGAATGTTCATTCCATCAGATGGAAACATCCCCACTCGTTTTTGTCACCAGTTGCTCAAAGGAAACCAAGGGTAAAGGGACTTTAGTAAAATCTGTGGGCTTCTTTCTTCCTTCACAGCACATTCTAACAGCAGGCTTACACCCGCTCTCGATCCTCACAGCACACAAGAAACGTCCTTCCACTGAAAAGCACTTGCAATGGTCTCTCAAAACACTGGCTTATTAAAGCTCAGTGGGGCTAAAGCATCTTTAAAAAAAAAAAAAAGAAAACCAATTTTCTGCACTAAGATATGGTTAAAGGACTTCCCTGGTGGTGCAGTGGTTAAGAATCGGCTTGCCAATGTAGAAGATGCGGGTTCGAGCCCTGGTCTGGGGAGATACCACATGCCGTGGAGCAACTAAGCCTGCGCGCCGCAACTACTGAAGCCCGGGCGCCTAGAGCCCATGCTCCGCAACAAGAGAAGCCACCGCAATGAGAAGTCCGTGCACTGTAACGAAGACCCAATGCAGCGCCCCCCCGCCAAAAAAAAAGATACGGCTAAAAAAATGAACATGGTTCACACATTTTTAGACATTGCTCTGCTGTAATAGGCCTGGGTCCCCAGTGTCACTCAACTGGATAGTACTTCGCAGAGTGACTCACGCTCCAGTGCTCTAAAGAAGTGAATTCTTTGAAGAAAACTGTCCTTCACGTAAAATGTCAAGACGGACAGATTATAGTTAAAAAGGAAAGTCAGAGTGACACTGACCTTCACTGGGAAAATGCCCAAGTTAGAATATGGGAGAAAAATTAAAAGAGGGGAAGACGGATGCAGAGAAAGAAGGGAGGAAGGGGTAGGGGGGGAGAGGAAGCAGAGCGGCCATAAGGGACACAGGGCAGACAAGGGAACGGAAGTAAAGAGGTCTAGCACTTAATAAATGCCCCCTCTGTGTTTGGAAAGGGCACACAGAGGTGTTAGAACAATAATATGTTTTTGGAATTCCCGGGCAATCCAGGGGTTAGGACTCGGCACTTTCACTGCTGGGGCCTGGGTTCAATTCCTGGCCGGGGAACTAAGATTCCGCAAACCAGGCAGCAAGGCCAAAAAGAAGTTAATAATAATGATAATAATTTTTTTTTTTTCTGGTACGCGGGCCTCTCACTGTCGTGGCCTCTCCCGTTGCGGAGCACAGGCTCCGGACGCGCAGGCTCAGTGGCCATGGCTCACGGGCCCAGCCGCTCCGCGGCACGTGGGATCTTCCCAGACCGGGGCACGAACCCGTGTCCCCTGCATCGGCAGGCGGACTCCCAACCGCTGCGCCACCAGGGAAACCCGATAGTAATGTTTTTTAAAGTCACAGGCAAAGTCACTTGACAAGGGTTTTTGAAAACCACCAAATTCCCCTAGAAATATAAACCACCACTGGAAAAGACTCTGAAGAAGTCCGAGCTCCCTCAATGCCTGTGGTCTGGGGGTAGAAATCTACAAGAAACATGACCTGTGAACTGAACGATCAGAAAGTGCCCAGGGCAGCAGCATGTGAAGGCAGAGGTGGAAAAAAACAGAGGTGAGAGTTCCCGCCCACTACGTGCCCCTCTGACATTTCCGAAGGCACCCAACCCCATCCCTTGGCCTTGTCCCGGACCACACATCTGATAACATGGCTGCAAGCACCAACAGCAAAGTTCACCCCTAGAGAACTGCAGTGTCAGCTCATCAGATACCCACACGTGGTAGAGATATGAAACTCAGAACCACGGTGGGAGAAAGAATGAGGAAGAAACACATTATTACTATTTCGGCGATCAGCTAGAACTCCCCGTGCTAACTCGTCAGGCTACTTCAGCCTGAACGATATCCAGTCTGGACATGTTATGACAGACGCCACATTCCTGTTCAGATTGGCAGTGATTCCATTGCACGGTAGCTCCACTATCGTGACTGTAGCGCCTTCTGCGTCAAGGCAGAAAGCACTTATACTCAATAGCTGAAAATTACAGCCAGAAATCCACAGTAAGATCTGATAATTCTAAATGTTTGATATGGAAAGCTGAGGATGGGAAAACAATAGACTTGAGACAGTGGCCTTCCCAGGTTTTGAAGCCTGCGGTGGCAGGGGGCCCTTGTGGTACATGCACATCCCCACACAGAAGAGCAGAAGACAGGCACCATCTGACCAGAGAGCAGGAAGAATCATTACATAAGTAGGATTTCGTGCTTTGTCACTTTTTCTACAGGTGAAACCTGTTGGGGGAAAAAAAAACCAGCTTAACAGGCAGCAGAATCCTGGAGGGAGAGACGGGCAGGGAGTGACATAAGGAAAGCAGGCTTCTGGCAGGCCTGGAAGGGCAGATCAGCAATGACAGAGGCTCTGGGGAAACCAGATAAAACCAGAGGTTATTCTGATTGAGGCTGGGGAGAGGTGTATGTGGAGAGTCAGAAATAAAACAATTTCCTGGAGATTTCTGTGAATGGGAAACTGAAGTTATTTAGCTGGAATGCAAGGGACCGTGGAGGAAAACATTTTCAACCTGAAATCTGAAGCAGATCTGGGGTCTAAAGAGAAAAGGATCAGCTTCCTCATGGAGCAAAGGAAAAAAAGAACACCCGTGTTTGCCGGGGTGGGAGAACCAGCAGGGAATGAAACAGAAAAGCCACAAGGGAAAAAGCAAAGTCATGCAAGTCAGCTACGTTCTGTTACCCTAAATGACAGACTGTCTATGGCCATTTTCAAGAAACATCAGTAACGCTGAGTAGTTTTGACAGAGCCTGTATGACTCACGAAGCCTGAAATATTTACTACCTGGCCCCTGACAGAAAACGTTTGCCAATCCGTGGTCTAGACACTGCCTTGAAGCTGCCCAGATTCTAGGCAGGGAGCACAGTCTGCTGCATCACAGGCTACTCGTGGCGAGCGGAGACCCATATTTTTTTTTTTTTTTAACTAGAGAGTCAAAACCCTTTTATATTCACAAATGACTGAACCAAAGGTATGGTGACTCCAAGGTTCTTGGGTGTGGTAACAAGCAAATTCTTCCACACTCAGCTTCCTTCTAAATGTATAGGCACGAAGCAAGACCTTCTATTTTCTCTGCAGAACTTGTCAGCTACGGTCCACCAGCCCTACCACACCGAGGACAATGTGTACTTTTCCAAGCGCTTCAAGTTTCATCTGAAGCTAAGAGAAGGAAGATGCCTCCTGGACCATCTGTCCTTTGCACCTGTTGCCACTGCCCTTGTGAGGACGGACAAGTACCTCATTGCCAGGTCCCGGCGTGTTACCTTTTTTGAATGGCTCCCGGTTTTCCTCTGCTTCTCTGTTAACTCGATTCTGCTCTGGTTCCACCGCAGGCCCCTGGTCTTCAAGTTCATCTTCTGTTTCATCATCACTGTAAGGGACCACTTCGTCATTAGGCTGAGAATCCTCCTCAAATGTCGTTTCTGAGTCTCTTTCTGTATTCATTCTGCTGGCAAATTGGAACTACCTGGTTTAAAAGAAAGGGAAACCAGAGTGAAACATGGTTCATACCCAGTTTTTGGTTGAATTCTGCCTGCATTCGGTTACAACGCTTTTTTTTTTTTTTTTTTGCGGTACGCGGGCCTGTCACTGCTGTGGCCTCTCCCGTCGTGGAGCACAGGCTCCGGATGCGCAGGCTCAGCGGCCATGGCTCACGGGACCAGCCGCTCCGCGGCATGTGGGATCCTCCCGGACCGGGGCACGAACCTGTGTCCCCTGCATCGGCAGGCGGACTCTCAACCACTGCGCCACCAGGGAAGCCCCGGTTACAACGCTTTTAACAGAACCTGACTTACTAACATGGAAATATGCCTGAATAATGATCCCAAAGTTCAAATTATCATGCAAATAACAACAAAACCATTCATTATTGATTAAATGCTTGGGTGAGAATTTACAACTGTAATGTAGCTGCAAACTTTCTTTTTTTAAGGGTATACAGGCTTTAAGGTTGTGTTTCAAATCGTGGGTCTCTACCCAGCAAAATTAATTTAATTGGTTCACAACCAACATTAAAATAAAGTGAAACAGATTTTAAAATATCAGAGCACAGCACGCATAAAAAGAGTTAGTACTGTATGGGGAACAGTTTTACAAAACAGACACATATATACATTTATTTGCATTGTGGGTCTTAATGGAAATGAATTTCTTTTGGAAATTGTGGATTGCTGGCAAAGTTTGAAAACCACTGTCCTAAGATATCTGGTTTCTGCTAACGCTAATATTCTGAGCTTTTCCTCTGTGATGCATTTAAATACAAGCTTAGGTCCTCAAACTTTACTAATGACTTCTTGAAAGCACATCCTAGCCTACTGCCTAACTGCCACCACCCACTCCCTATATTTAAAATTTGTTGTTTGTGTATACACCACTGTATAAAGTGACACTTTATAAGTGCCAAGTACAACCTCAGTTATACTTATATTAGGAAAATATTTACACTAATACCCCAGGCTTTGTGAGGACAGACATACAGCCTGGCATTATTTACATAAGCTTCATACCGACATGTACTCATTATCATTAATAAAGGCAGCTCACATTTATTTAGTGTTAACTGCGTGCGGGGCTCCGCATGAAATGCTTTATAAACATGGCTCCTTGAAATGCCCTATACCACCCTAGTGAAGGTGGTATTGTTATTTGTACTCTATAGAGGAGAAAACCAAACCTTTGCAACGCTGGATAACTTGTACAATAATTACTGAAATTTTGAAGCAAGAGCAATTGCTTTCCAAGGAGACATCTTTTATATTCTACGTTTATGTTACAGTTCGTTAGATATTTTCATCAAGTGTTAGTTGCCTTGAGTGGAACCATTTCGCTGGCTGCATGCTTTATACCCAATCTAGCATCTTGAACATCTAAATTTTTATAACCATAGGTGTACATCTAGGAAATGTTCAAATACTTATGTGAGGAATTTGGCCAATATTATTTAAAACAAAACCCAGAAGCAACGTGGATATCCAGTGATTAGCAACTGTGTAAATAAATGGTGGCACCTTCACACAATGGGACAGCGCAGAACAATTTAGATCACGGTGGGACAAGTTTTTAATGACGCTGCAAAAACCCAAACACATTTAGTTGAAAGGCGAGTTAACAACCCACATGTAAAGAACAGTTCCAGTTCTTCGCAGACATTTATTCATTTCCCCAGATTTCAACAACTGCCGTGCGTGATTCTCAGTGACATGATGCATGGAAAGGGCTCGATTTGGTATTTAGCCTAGAAAGTACTCAAACGTCAGTCGCTGTTATTGTTAACAATTATTTCCATAATTAGAAAAACTGTGTTTTATAATAACAAATGGAACAGTGTGGGGACTCTATCCCTGTTGCCTTTTCCATCTCCAAAAATCACTTCTAAAATGCATCTGCCCCTCACTGGGAAGTAAAATATTAGACTATTACAAAATATGGTTATACTTAAGCACAGGCGTATTCACAGTTAAAACCTTTAGTTGCCAAGTAAAACATTTTTCCTCTCTCCCAATTTTCTGCGGGTTAGTAAATGACTATTTCTTGGGATTTTACATGTGTTTAATTGGCCCTACTTGTGGTTTTATGCTTTAGCTAATATTTTAATATAATCCTTAAAAAATTCCCAAACTCTCAAAGGCAGACTTTCACCAGAAATTTTTCAGAACAAACATAATAAAAGTGGTGACCATTTATTGAGCACCTACTATCTGTCAAGCAGGAAAACCCTATGAGGGAGATGTTATCTACCCATCTTTCAGATAAGGAGACTGAGGCTCAGCTAGTAAGTGGCAGAGTTAGTATCTAATCTCTCCATTACAGGGGCACAGAAAATTTTGAAAAGTCTGAAAGCATCATAGAGAAAGTTTCTTTATTGTAGTACATATACACAACTAAATTTACCATTTTAACCATTTTTAAGTATCCAGGTCAGTGGCATTAAGTGCATTCTGTAGAAACATTTTGTAAGTGATCATTTCGTTATCATTATTGCCAAGCGTCTTCGTGCTTATTTCCCATGTTAAAGTTGGACCCAGGGGGACTTCTCTGGTGGCAGTGGTTAAGAATGCACCTGCCAATGCAGGGGACATGGGTTCGAGCCCTGGTCCGGGAAGATCCCACAAACCGTGGAGCAACTAAGCCCATGCGCCACAACTACTGAGCCTGCGCTCTAGAGCCCGTGAGCCACAACTACTGAGCCCACGCACCTAGAGCCCGTGCTCCGCAACAAGAGAAGCCACCGCAATGAGAAGCCCGCACACCACAACGAAGAGTAGCCCCTGCTCGCTGCAACTAGAGAAAGCCCACATGCAGCAACGATGACCCAATGCACCCAAAAATAAATAAATTAATTAAAAAAAAATTGGATCCAGGGAATTCCCTGGCGGTCCAGTGGTTAGGACTCCATGCTCTCACTGCGGAGGGCCTGGGTTCAATCTCTGGTCAGGGAACTAAAATCCCACAAGCCACGTGGTGCGGCCAAAACAAACAAACAAACGAGAAAAAGACTGAAGATGGAATCCAGTCCGAATCCAGTCCTTCGAGGTTGAAGGAGGAGACAAACAACAAGGAAGAGATTCACAACCACAAGCATGGGATTCAAAGAAAGCAAACCACTGCACAACCAAGCAACTCACCAGCCGAACACCTGCCACAGGCCAGATCTGGGCGGCTGACTTGGAAGGCTGGGTGGGGACCTCTAAGCTGAGCAGGAAGTTCTTTGCTGTATGTACGTGAGTGTAATGCAGACACTCATGGGATAGTTTAGCTCTGCCATCTTACGCTACCAAAGAAAAGTTAGCTAGAAATCATTTCTTGGAAGCCCTAGGTGACATAAAGCAGCTTTCCAGGTCTAAACTATGATCTCTGTAAAGCAGGCACTACACACATGGATTTGGAAACTTTGTAATGTCTCTTCCCATCACTCCAGCACGTCACGGACACCTGTGCATTTATTCAACCTCCACTGAGCACCTGCTCGGTGCAGACTGCTACCGGAGGCACTGGGAACCAAACCATCGTCCAAGTTATTGAGGGATACGGGTAAGTAAATTATGTGTGACAGCCCCAGGACACAGCAAGGCCTGTCATTTCCCCCCAGACACATTCCTCCAACCCATGTCTTCCTCTCCGTCTCCACGGCCACCACCCTAGTGCAGGCACCACCATCTCTCTCCTGAAATGCTGCAGGTGGAGTCTAACAGGACTTCCCACCATCCACTTCCACCCGGCCACCAGAGTCATGCCACTCTCCTGCTTAGACCCTTCCTATGGGTTATGGACTGAACTGCCTCCCCCTAAAATTCAAACATTGAAGCCCTAACCCTCAACGTGACTGTGTTTGAAGATAGGGCCTTTCAAGAGGTGACTGAGGTTAAATAATGTTATACGGGTGGGGCCCCAATCCGACGGGTCTCACGTCCTTATAAGAAGAGGATAAACCACCCAGGAGCTCTCTTTCTGCACGTGCACAGAGGAAAGGCCATATGGGGATGCTGCAAGATGGCGGCCAAGGAGAGAGGCCTCTCCAGAAACCACACAGGAGGCAGTTTGGACTCTGTCCTTTGGAGACTTACAGTCTAGACAGGAGTCAGCAAATTGCAGCCTGAGGGCCAGATTTGGCCAATCGTCTGTTTTTGTAACTAAAGTTTAGGACACATCCTTGCTCTTTCCTTTATGTACTGTTTATGGCTAATTTTGCATAACAGAAGAGTTGAATAGCTGTGATAGACACCGGATGGCTTCAGAGGCTAAAATATTTACCATCTGGCCCTTCACAGAAAAAAAGTCTGTTGACCCCTGAACTAAAAGAAAAGATAATAAGAGACAGCAACAAAAGAAGTGGTCAATATCAAATGCCCATGGTCACATAAAATCATCATTGACCCGGATAAATCATGCATGCTTTGGGAATGTGAAATAAACCACCAGGTGTAGTGGTGGGGAAATGGCCCTAAATCGTACAGTTGCCCTATTGATTGGGAATGGTACTATTTCAACTGCTGCATAGCTGTTTAACTAGAAAAGACACGCAATTCCAAACGCCTGAGGTAACAACACACCCGTTTCCTGTGAGGAAGCTGTGGTCACGCACCTGCCAATATCCAGTTCAATGCAGTATTTCTTCATTAATCCATGTGCTTATAATCTCAACATTGGATATAAATGTGAATAAATATTAGAGCAAGGAAGCAAAAGATTTATCAGGATTTTTAAAAAGTCATCCATGTGATTTAGCATTCAAGGATTCTTCTGGTCACATGATCTTAGGAAAATGCCCTCAGCTCCTGGTCAGGCTGAAAAGCAGCGTGATTAATTGGAAAGAACATAGGTCTGGATTCAAACCACAGCTCTACCGTTCACCACTTTATTACCATTTTGGAAGCTCATTTTTCTCATCTGTTAAAAAAAAGGGCGGAGGAGGAAGATGCCTTATTTCCCATCCTGCCTTCTGCAGTATTCAGCCCTCTTGGTCATAAA